AGAAATTTGTTTAACAGAACAAACTATTAGAAGTCAGATCTGGCAGGATGTAGAAAGGGGTTTTGTTATAGGGATGGCAGTGTGCCTGATGCATTACGGACAATGACTGTCTTTTCAATTACCTGAAGTGAGAGACAAAGGGAAGATGGGCTGAGACAGAGAGGAAGGCCCTCTGTTCTCCTGGTGTAATTACAGGTGGCAAATGTAGGAGAGATATGAGCATCATATTGGCCCCCCAAGACATCAGACTGATTAGTAAAAATAGGTACTGAAGCAAGTTTCCCAAGGAAATGGATGAGCCAAAGGCAGGTCTGAGTTTGTCCTCTGTAGGAACACAAGCATACTCTGGCTCCTATGTTATTAATTGCACTGAGCCATATTACCTTTTAGTTAGGACATCCTTTGACATTTGTGTCTAGGACATGTCTATAGATTTATCTTAGTATCAATGGAATTTTGATGGAGGATATTTACTTTCCATGAATGGATTTAAAAATTTTTAAGTGAAGGCAATTAGAGAAGGTAACAAAATCTAATTAAGCTTGTAGAGGTAGCTGTACTCCCCCTCTCTTGTTTATGTAAGTGTGTTTTTAGGGAAAAATGAGTACACCCAATAATGGCTTTTCTCTAGGGTTATAAGGACCTATAATCTGTTTAAATGGATTAGTTGTCTATAATAAGTTGTTTTTGAAAAGGCTGTCCCCAACTGTGGTTAGGGGAGAAGGGGCACAAGTTTCATCTAACTGCTTCGAGCTGAAAAGGGTCAATGTAGGGAAGACTGCAGTTAGGGGCTTTTTCTAGGAGCTAATTTAACAGGCCTTAAATAAAAATCATGTGGTAATTTAGTAATTATAAACTCTATAAGGTCAATCTGGTGGATTTTGGTAAAGAAAAATGTCTAGCACATTAATTATTGATAGTATCTGTATGAGCCCTTTTGAGTTTGGCAGCCTATAGGCAAGAATAAACAAAATTTTTAAAGAAATTAGAGCAGGTATAGTCAAGGTAAAAACACTAAAATAAAAAGGTGGTTTCGGGAAAGAGCTTTGTCTAGAAACTGTTTTTTGGAGACTAAAATAGTGAATGTAACTTGTAGACCCTCCACTAATGGAGATTATAAGTCTGATATTTTGTCATAATTTTAATTGTCGTTATAAAAAGACTAAAAAAAAATTTCAAAAAACAATTTGAGCCACAATATTTTAAAAACTATAGTTAAGTTCATATAAATTTCACCATGGTTTTATCCAATGACCCACAACAGTGGCTAGGTACCAGTGTATCTACAAACTGTCAGAAGGGGTCAGCAATTAGAGCTTCTTCTTAAGTCTAGCTATGTAACTATGCTCTTTTTTTTTGGTACCGGAGATCGAACTCGGGTCCTTGCACTTGCGCAGCAGGCAGCGAAACCACTGAGCTAAATCCCCAGCCTCACTTTGTTCTTGATTTTACCTATCTTTAGTTATACTTTTCTACTGGGTGTTTAAGACCAAGTTTCAGTGAGACTTATATTAAATAAAATTAACCTCTTGCTATCTATCAAGGTCAATTAGCTCTCCTCAGGCAATATCTCAGAACCATGTATAAAGCCTCTCAGCTTCTGTCAGTGTCAGGCATCGGGAAGTGTCATGGCCTTGCTTGACCAAGTTGCTTTCTGTGAAAGCATGGGAGATTTTTTTCCCTCCAGGTGACATTCCTTTGTAAACTGCAGATGTTGCTTTGGTGCCCAACAATCTCTCTGCTCAGGAGGTTGAGTGACTTACCAAAAATATAGAAAAGGTTCCTTCATGTCCTGGATCTTTGTTGACCTTGGAGGGCCAAGGCCACAATATTGGCTGTCTTCTTAGCCCAGTTACCTTTCTTTTTTTTTTTTTTTGGTACCAGGGATCGAACTCGGGTCCTTGCGTTTTCGGAGCAGGCAGCTAAACCACTGAGCTAAATCCCCGGCCCCAGTTACCTTTCTAGAGCTGGTCTCTGGATTTTGTTGGTTGAACACCCAGAAGAGAAGATCCATAACATTAGCATTACAATAGGAGTAATGAACTTAACTATTATAATTTTACCTGGATAGCAAGTATTTTGGAATCTAAAATGTAGTTAGAGGACTGTTATTTTTATCAATCATGGTTGTTCTAGTAGTTGAATTCCTGTAGAATATTAACAGAGAAAAAAAACTCCTCTAAATCAGGAGCCATACATAATACTTTAACATGACAATCATGATGACATTATCTTTGTAACACACTTAGATGTGTATTTTAGTATAAAATAGCCATTGTTAAATGTATTCACTCCCTTCAAAAAACACATAAAAAACAGGAAACTCTTACTTAAGTTATTAACTTTTGATAGGATGCTATCTAAGGAAAATGTATGGGCCTATAAATGTACCTGTTACCATGAGTAGCTGGAGCATAAGAAAAAGGTGAATACCTGGATCAAAAGGAGGTTATTACCATAAACAATATGTTGGAAGACCTGCAGAGTCAGAAGACATGAATACATTTTGTACACCAAAAAAGGAGCAATAATAATTATTACAATTATATGAAACCTCATGTCCTATAATGTAGCTTGGTACCAAAAGTATCCTTTTAATAACACCTTGTTCTTCCCATTGAAAATTTTATCTTTTGAAGATGACCAATACAAACATATCACAATAACATATTTAGAACTTAACCCTGATAGCCAATACATTTTATAATAATATATTTAAGCAATGTTTATTGGGGGTGTGTCTTCCCATAAGGCTATGAAAATTACTGGGGCTCCCATTAGTGAACAAAGACCAGAATAACTTTTTTCTCGGCAGCTGCTTCTTTATTCTTTAAGCCCGTCTTTATTCCCATCCAGCCTTCTCCCCAAACCTAAAAGTCTCCATTTAATTACCTTGACAATTTTTTTTTGTATTTAACCTGTAAAAACCAGATTGTAACAATTAACATATTATTTATAACCAATAAAAAATATTTTTGAGTTATTGAAGTAGACAGCAATATGCACTACAATCAAAATCAATCTTTGATGTCATTTTGATCAGCTAGCAACCTGAGAGAAAAGGAAGGCATGCCTTTAACTTTAATAACATTTATCTATAAGCCAATTTAAATTATAGGCAAATATCTTTTAAGAAAAAAATTTTAAGGGCAAAAAGGAAAAAATACTGTTGTTAGGCTCAAACAATTGGACAGACAAACACATAAAACAATTTATGAAGCTAGAGTGCACTCAAATATATTTGGCCAATTTGAATCATAACATCCCTTGTAATTAAGATCAGTCAAAACTTTTGCAGGTAAATTAACAGAGATCTCTTCTAATTAGAATCATAAGGAATAAAAGCACTTTATATCTGTAAGTGTAATCTTTTTCTTTTTCTTTTCTTTTTTTTGGTACTGGGGATCAAACTCAGGTCCTGGTGCATGCAGGGCAGGGGATGGAACCACTGAGCTAAATCCCCAGCCCTGTAAGTGTAATCTTTTATAACATGCTAGTAATAGAACAGTAGCATAATCTTGTGTTATAGTTATTGTCAGAAGTCTGCAAGCAGAAAGTAGAAAGAAGAGCTATTCAAGATTAAAATTCAAGAATTTGCAATGTAGAAGAAATGCTTTAAATACACC